CCTCTGGGGGGTCAGGGTTGGTCCCTGTTCAGGTCAGCCTATTTCCTTGATGACCTTTCATGGTGTGATTGTGGGTCTTGCCTGGTTTGGAATCATCTTTGCATCTGAGTAAGACAGTAAGCTCCCCAGACAAAGATGGGCTGGACCTGCTTCCGTGCACTGATACTGAATTCTGATTTTAAGCTTCAGAGTGGGGTAGCTCCCCAGTGAGGAGGCAGGCAGTGCACGTAGAGTTACATATGGTTCTAAATTTAATTCATTTCAATCACCAAATGCATGAGCCTTCACTGTTGTGATGAATTTTTAATGTAACTTGAGCAGGCCTTCTAGAATTTTGCATTCTCTCTGATGCCTGAACATTTTTAACTGAAACATTATTCTTTAGAATTTCCTGGTGTCTGTCTAGCTCATCAGAAGAGTAGAAAATAGTCCAGAACTTAAATTATTCATGTGATGCTTTAGGCGATTTTGGTTTTGCACCTTGCATTGCAGGCACCAGCAGCATAATGCCACATGTTGTCTTTAAAATGTAGTCATTGTGGCCGTCTGATTTCTCTATATGGTAGCTGTTTCTCTAGAAAATCCAATTTTATTGATATTATTGAACATATTTGCTCAGATTGGGGTTCCGTGCTGTTGACTGATAACTTGCTTCTGGCATAAGATAAAATTGAACTGGAAAAAAATCTCCATTCCAACTTGATCATTCCTTTTCTTTAGATGTAATGAAAGTCTTTATATCACTTTACTTTCATTTGCCGTTGAAAACGAGTGAAATAATGGATATAAAGTGCTTTGTAAAGAATGTTTATATTATGCATTATTGTTCTGAAGAACTAATTTTATGTAGTAGAGCACTTTCGGTATCGTCGTGGTTGGGTTTTAATTCTGACTCCTCCAGAGATACTTCAGTTGTGTGACCTCCGGCAGATGACTTCATGTCTGTGGTCCTTGGGGTCTGTAAAATGAGAGGCATGGATTGGGACTTTCGGGCCGTCTAGCGGAATGGCACTTAAGTGGTAAGGGCATCAGTTTTACAACATGGGCATGGGATAGGCCTTAGAGTAAGTATACCACATCCGATCCCCAACTAAGAACCAAAGATTATTATTTGGGGGAGGGTGGTGGGGGGAGAACCTTGCTGCAGTGGATAACTGCTCCTTTCCTTCTGTTTCATTCAGTTTTCTTCATCTTTATGTGTGTATTTCTTTTCCTTATATACATGAAGTTTTGTCCTGTCCTTCATTATGTTCTTTGTCATTGTCTGCATTCCACTTTCCTTGTGTTTCATTCCTGTATCTTTCTTGTTTAGACCATCTGGAGCACGCAGCTGGCAGAGCCTCTATGTAGGACCCTTCAGGAACCTGAGGGTAAGTGCACACGTGTACTTACCAGGCTCCCAGCGGCTCTGCCGGACCAGTTCTCCAGGCACCTCCTGCCTCACAGACAGGAACTAACACATCTCCCTCCCTTTGTAAAAGTCCTTACAGGTTGTTTTTGGTTATGAGTTGTTTTTGGTTTTGTTTTCTTTTAATTTGATTGCATATAGAACGAAAACCAAGTATCAGGGGGGAAAATGTATTGATTTAAGGAAATATAGCAGGTGCCACCGGGTGTTATTACAATATTTGGCTTTGTGAGTGACACTCGGCATACCTAAGTGTGAGTCAGGATACCCGGGTTCAGACTTCTGTCATAGATTGATCGGTCAGTCCCCTTGGGACCCTGGTCTTCAGTTTCTCTCAGAAAAAATAGCAGGTAGGACAGGTGATTTCAGTAGCCCCTTCATCTCTAGTCTACACTCCTAATGGGAAGTAACTCAGGTATTAGATGATTCTGATAAAGATTGAGAAAATCCCTTTATGTATCACATAATCTCAATTCTATGAATGAGTGATGATTAGATTCATGATGGACTCATTTTCATCGTAAACTAAGTCTATCAGTGTTCACCAGAGGCACTCAGGAGGTAAATTTAATTGTTCCATTTCTTAGTTTTTAGAATTGGTGTATTAGTGTTACTCGAATACTTAAAAAATGTTTATAAATATGTAGACTGTGGAGCCCCGTATTGGTTTAGCCCAGTGGTTCTTAATGTAGAGAGACAACCCCTCCCTCCTTTTGGGTGAGACTTAGGCCACGTCTGGAGACACTTGCTCGTCACAGGTAGAAGGAGGGGCATGCTATTGGCATCTAGTGGGTGGAGGTCAGTGATGCTTCTGAGCGTCCTCTGATGCTTCAGACAGCCCCACAGCAGCGAGTGATCTCCCCAGATGTCAGGCGTGCTGTGGTCGGGACGCTTGTAGCAGCCTGTGGTGGGTACTCTTGTTTGTCCTCCGAGTAGAATGCACATGTCCCGCAAGTGGCGTGTCTTCCCAGGGCGCAGATCAGGCTTTCCTGGTCCTGGTGTTGAAAGAGGATACCAGGGGTGGCACGGGGGTGGGGGGATCTGAGGGTGGTGCAGCTTCTCACTGCTTAGGTTTGGAGAGTCTAAAAATAAGGCATTTGACATTCAGTATCAGCTAGGTGTTCTATTATTCTTTTATGCAGGGAATAAAACTAAAAATAGCACTTTTACCTTTTAGTTATATGATTTCATTCTTAGTACATATTAATGAAAGGTACTGTTCAAGTTGTGCTTTGCTTTATGTAAATCTAGAAATTTTACTTATTTAATAGTCTATTTATACATATAGGCCAGTTTATTTTTTTTGTACAACCTGCTACCAGGTTCATATAGCACTTGATAGGTTTCAGGAAATTTTTTGAATTGCTTTTGCAAGGGATTGTATTACAACAAATTGACATCTGTTTTTCTATTATATTTTACAGTGTGACTTTAAAAAAAAAGTATTTAAGGTTTATGCGTAAGAGGTAGGGTTTACACCTCCAGTTTTACTTATTTCGAAAGTTCATACCTGTACAAAGTAGAAAGTAAGAGGTTAGTTAAAAAAAAGAAAAGGGTCACATTCGTTTGTCCTGTTTGGGGTACATGAGGTGGTACTGATATAAAAATTTGGGGGTTTTGATCCAGGGAAAAAACTGTCTGAATATAACTTTTGAATCAGGCGTCTGTGGGCACTAGGAGCCCTTTCTGTGAACCTCATCAGACGTGAACTGCACTTGCTAGAGCAATTATGTTAATAGCTAGGTAATCATTTATATTTGCATTGTTTGCTACCAGCAGTCTGATGTGGGCGGGGCATCACAGACAAGGAAGGGCATATATCATCATGAGGATAAGAAAACTGGTTGAATCCAATTCCCTTAAAACACAGCTGTAGTTTTCAAGAGCCTTTGTCATCATTAGATTTAGGCTAAGTGCTATTAAGTTGACAAAGGGAGAAAGACTTGAAAGAGGAGGTTACTTCTTACAATATGAAAAGGTGTATTCATGTCCTTGCCCCTTGCAGAGGGGATTGGTTTATAACCCTTCCACCTGGAGACTCAAATGGGCCATCTCCAGGCAGACTCTCAGCTTCTGTTTCCACCAGAGTGTGTGGTTCCAGTGAAGTATATGCTTGTGTCCTGGGTTCCACTTCAGCTGCCTTTAGAAGTGAACGGATTGGTGTGTTGTTATCAGGAATTCGAGTGAAGGTTTTATATAATTGCAAAAAAACAGCTTCTTTTTTTTTTTTTTTTTTAAACAGGCTGAAGAGTTAGGGATTTAAAATGGTATTTTAGAATTTGTTTTTTAAGACTAACAAATTAAGTGGCTGATTATTAAGTACTCTATACTTTATTTTTCTTGTTTGCATCTCAAGTATTTATCAAAATCTGGGGATGTTTTTTAGGGTTAATATTTGCTTTGTATTGTAATTGATGTTTCTGTTTTTAATCCTGATCTTTGCAGTGGTGGTATTTTGTATCTCTGACCTCATTTTCATCTGTTGTCTGTATTTTAGTTAATTATTCTCCTCTCTAGTGATTCTCCGTTAAGGAGAATACCGTTTTCCAGAAGCTCTGAGTGGTTTCTAGTTTGTCGTTTTACTAGACCAGAGATAAAGGTGTCAGGAGGCTTGTTCTGAAAGAGAAAGGACAGCTCTGAGAGCTATTTGGGGCCTGGCTGGGGAGAGCGTTGCAGAAAGAGAAGGAAGGTTTGGGGAGATGGAAAGGGACTTACTCTGAATCTGAAACGGAAAACCAACAGCCACCAGGAGTAAGAAACGTAGAATGGAAAAAGTGGAACAAGGTCGCAGATTCTGACTAAATCCCAAAGAGACTGAGCTTCCAAGCCTTCAGTATTAGTACTTCCACAGAGAATTGTTTTTCCATGTTGAATGTCTCGGTGACTTTAGTTCATTTTTCCAGCTCATCAGATATGTGTTGCATTTCAGTCTTATCTTCTGAACTGTGTTGTCACTTGGAATGCAGTTAGTGTTTCCTGACTTCATTCTGCGAGTTGTTAATGAAATGCTGAATTGTGCTGGACCTGGGACCCTCAGAGTGCCATGCGGGCTGACAGTGAATTATCCAGAGTTACTGTGCACTTGATATTTGAGCCGTGGTGCATGGGAGCATCCCTTGCCATTCAGCAACATCTCTGCTTCTGTTGTTTTACTTTGACAAGTCTGAATAATGTCTTAACTAAAAAAGGGCCCAAGTTATAACATGTTATTTTTCTCTAATGTGCTTCTTACAAATATCTAGACTTCTGCCAGTTCCTATTATTTGTGTGGCGTTGAAATTAGTGCTCTTATCTAATTTTCCTGTTACATCAGTGTTGTTAACTTTTTTAGAGTATTTTACATATTAGTTTGATAGCTATTATAGCTAGGAGGGGAACTGTTACTCGAGATTCTCAAAAATATAGGATTTCTGGGTTCCTTGTCTTTGACATAACTTAAAAGTATTCATATTCATTGTCTTTCTTCAGGAATCTGGGGTGATAATTGCCTAGAAATATACAGTTTGCTGTGTTTGAATTAGTAATTGTCCCCAAGAATTCAGGATAATAATGAGAGACTGAACGAACAAAACAAATAAATATTGTGTTTCAGGGAAGAAGAAATCCCAAGAAAATAAAAACAAAGCAAACAAAACTGAAGACATACAGCTGAAGACAAGTGAGCCAGATTCCACCTCTGCAAATATGAGAGATTCTGTGGAAGGTAAGCTTGGGTTTTGGACCCGTATGATTCGGGTATACATTGCCACCAGTTACTTTGACTTTGTATCTCCTTGGAACGCCCTCTGAGAATCATCCAATAACCATAAAGGGTTAAACAGCAGAAAGGTCGCCTGGATTTAATGTGGCAAGTTGAACCTTACACGTCTCACCTCCCCTTCAAAAAATCATTGAAGACCTTCCTTGTTAAAAATGAAGTTATTCCCTGGTTAAAATAAAATGAAACATACCGTGTGATTGTATTTACTGGCAGGGACAGGAGGGGCCTCTGGGGTGCCAGTACTAGTCCATCGCTGGGTTGGGATGAGCACATCAGTGTATTTACTCTGTAGACATCTCACCTTGCTATACTTTTCTTTACGTTTTTTACTGTAATTAAAAGCTCACTAAAACATATCAAGCACCTTTGATTTTATATATCAGAATGAAAAGTATATAGAATGAAAAGTTTCTGTTTTTTTTCTTAGAAATTAAATTCCTACTTTATCTCTTCATGTTTCTCCCCACACATTTTTCTTCTTTAGAGCCCCTTCCGAGAATTCATATTCTAGGCCCTCCACGATGTAAGAATTCCCAGAGACGGGGATTGAATGTTACTTGGGAAGGCAGATTGCCCTGTGCCTGGTGCCGTTGAGACACCATGTCGAGACTCTTGCCAGTAGAAGTGAGGGGGACGCTGTGTGTCTTAATTTGTTATGTGGCAAATTCATGCAACAGACCGGGCTTGCTCAAGAGTTCGTAGTGACCCAAACAGGCAGCTTTCAAAATACAGGCTGTGACTCTTTCAAAAAACATTTGCAGAAAAAAAAGAACCCCAGCAAAATACTGTGAATGCCTTTTATAATCATTTTATTAGCACTGTTTGTGGGGATGACATTCGTAAAGGATTGTAATTTTCTGTGGCATCTTACGAAGCAAGAATAGACAAATTTATTTCCCAGAGCCCTATAAAAAAAACGTTCTGCCTGCTAACAGCAGGTTTGCTAAGACGTTTGTTTGAACAATAACAAAAATACTAAAGAACCTTACTACTATTAGTGGCAGAATTAACAAGCCAACAGTCCCCTCTCCCATTCAGTAATTCAGGACAGTTATTTTTTCCTGATATAACATCAGGTCCTGTGAAAAAAAGATACTTAATATTTTGCCTGCTTGTGGTGCAGCTGGTCAGTATTTGATTGGTTCCGTACCTTGTGGTTGTCAGCTTCTCCTGCACGTTCTGTTTGGTCCTCAGAAAGTAGTCTCTATTACTGAGCAAACAGTTCAGACTCTTCCTTGTGTTTCCCAAACCACTGTTTATGTTTAAAACTCACCAGACCTCGAGTGTGGCCACGCTTTGGTTCATAGAGCCGTGCACATTTTGGTTCATATTACTTTGGGCAGTTTTAAATCTGGGATTGTTTACCAATCATAGAAAAAATACTTCCATTAAAAGAAGCCATGGATTTTGGCTAAAAATGAACTGTATAAAGAAATTTTTGAGCCTTAGAGATGTTATTTTCATTTCTGTTGTCTTATTTTGATTTTTTTTAGCAGTGTGCTGGGTCTTTGTTGAAAATGTATTTGGAAAGGGAGTTAGCTCCTAATTTGAAATACATTACTACCATCAAATGACTGGTTTCCCAGTTTGAGGAAACCTCATGCAATTTAAGAAATACGTCTGGAGGAAAGAAGGCTGGTGTCCGTTTAGAGGCAGAAACCTTAATTGCTAGTGGATGGTAGCGGTAGATGGGGAAAAAGGAAGACTGATATTCCTAGGAAACAGCAGGAGGACTAGGACGGAATCACTGAGCTTGCATTAATACCTTGCATGTGCAGAGTGTGAAAAGGTTGGCTTTTAAAACCCTTCCTTGTCCCCGGTATCCAGGCAGTCACCAAGTTTGTTTACAGGACTCTGGTAGCGTATCTCCATGATCTGACCGCTTTTTTTTCTGCCTCTTCTGCTTCTTCCCGTTTCCATCTCTCAGTGTAGGTAGCCAACCTCTCCCTTCTGATGCCACTGCATCAGTATTGATTTTCTGCCTCTCCCCAACCCCTTGATACACACTGCAGCCAAATCTCCCAAATGGCACTCTTCTGCTTTAAAATATCTTAATGGCTCCCTGTTGCCTCCAGCTAAGTCCACACTGATTTACAGTGTGCTGCATGTTTTGATTGCTCCTGCTTGATTTTCCTCTTCTATCCTTGTCCTTCAGGTTCTGCCTGCTTAGTACTTTCTCTAAGAAGCCTCCCCTGATCAGTTAACCAAGCCGCTGGATCTTCCTCCCGTGTGCTTCTGTCCTGTACCTTGTTAACCATGTACTTCCATAAGCTTGACCATTAATTCATTGTAGTAATGTTGCCTGCTTGCCTCGCTCCTGTTAAAGTGGAGCTCTGTAAGGATAAGGATCTTGGTGGCTTTATTCACCTAGTACTGATGTGTAGTAAATACTTGTCCAGTGAATAGGGGGAGAGCCAGTTAATAGAACCAGGAGAAGTCAGAGTAGCTCTGCTTCTTCTACAGACCCATTCTTAACTCTTGAGGTATCTGCAGTAAAAGGGGTATAGTTCAGCAGAGAGTTAGGTGGTCCTGTAGAGAAAGCGGCATCGTGGGCCATCCCCATCAGCGTTAAACGCTCTGTGCCAGCCCCTGTCTCAGAGGCCCTTGCTGTCCCTGTGTTTCCTTCTAGCTGCTACCCCCATTTTTCTGCTTTCCTTTACAGCTAAACTTGAGAGAGTTGCTTATAGTCTCCCTGTCTCTCCTTCCTTCTGTTCTCTTCTGAACTCCTTGAGGCCTCTGCCCCCACTACTCCGCCAAAACTGTTGTTGTCACCATCACCACAGCTCCACCGTAGCAAATGGAATGTTCAATTCTCACTCCCATCTTACCCAGCCCATTAGCAGTTCTGGACACAGCTGATCACTCCCTCCTTAGTTTAAGGGCCGCCACTCTCTTGGCTCTCCAGATACCTCCCTGGCCATTCCTCTGAACCCTGGGTACTGGAGTCATCTGGGGGACACAGCCATCCCCCCTCTTCTGTCTGCATTCGCTCTCCAAGTGACCTCGTCCAGACCCGTGCTCCAAGTGCCATTTCTAGTCTGAGGACTTAGCCATTTCTAGTCTTAGCCTCTTTTGGACCGTGAGTCATATATAACTACTTAATATCTTTACTTGGATATTTGTAAGTAAGGTACCTCAAACTTCAGTACATCCAGAGTAAACTCTAGTTTCCCCCCAACACACACAAACGCACACAGACCAGACTTGCTTTTCTCTCCATCTAATACAGTTTAGTGAGCAGGGTAATGGCAGTTGCTGTGGAATCCTCCTTGACCCTTCCTCCTCCACCACCACCCACCGTAGTCAGTCAACAAGCACATCTTGTCAGCTTCATCTCCAAAATAATCCAGAGTCTGACGACTTCCTACCACCTCCCCAAGCCACTCTCATCTCTTCTCCTGGAGCATATAGTAGGGTTGCCTCCACCCTTGTCCACCTACAGTTTTCTGTCTTCCTCGTAGCACCTGGAGTGATTCTCTTGTATTTCAGTCGATCATATATTTCTCTGTTAGAACTTTCCGATAGCTCCCTGTTTTACTCAGAGTAAAGGCCAACAGCCTACAAGTCTCTGCATGAGCTGATCTCATCTCCTGCTCTCCTTTCTCCCCCCCGTATGGACCGCCCCCACTCGCCCTACGGCCTCTACGACTTCTTGGCCGTTCCTTGACTACATCTAACATGCTCTTGACTCAGAGCTTATGCATTTACTGTTTCCTCTGTCCAGAGGGCTTCCGTCCCCCAGATATTTGCATGACTCATTTTCTTTAGGTGTCTGCTCGCCTGTCACCTTGCTAGCGAGTCCACGTGTGCACCATTAACCTCAGGTTGGGCTGGGCTGGATTCCTCCTGGGCACAGAGACTCAGAAGTGACTTCAGATTTCTTTTTCCTTCTCTGAGGTACTCCTGAGTCCTCCATAATTTAATCAGCCTTGGAAGAAGTGAGCTCTGAAGTTCCTTTTACATGAAAAATGATGATTGCATGATTTTGGGAAATGTTTTAGCTCTCAATATATAGTTTTAGTCAGGAGGAGGGAGAGAGAATCATTGCATTCAAGACAGACCACTGAGAATCTAACCTGGTAATATGGTTAGTAATTTTCTGGTTTCCATTCGGAATCATGAAAAATTGGAATTCATGACCATAGTATCTTGAATTTCAGTATCAACTACTCCAACACAGTTTTTTTTTTTTTTTTTTTTTTGTGGTGCGCGGGCCTCTCACTGTTGTGGCCTCTCCCGTTGAGGAGCACAGGCTCCGGACGCGCAGGCTCAGCAGCCATGGCTCACGGGCCCAGCCACTCTACGGCATGTGGGATCTTCCCGGACTGGGGCACGAACCCGCGTCCCCTGCATCGGCAGGCGGACTCTCAACCACTGCGCCACCAGGGAAGCCCTCCGACACAGTTTTAAGCACTACAGTTTCTGTAAACAAAAATGTTGTTTATATGTATGCGATGAAACACAAAAGAACCTAAGCTCCTTCAGGCATTTATTGTTCACATTGTATCCTCACTGCCCACGGAGCTGCCTGGTACAGAGCAGGTGCTCTGTAAACATTTGTTGAATGAGTGAAATGGAATTTTATGCATTACAGCTTTATAACCGAGAAAGCAGAGCTGTGTGTTGTTACGACCTCCCTTACACATTTAGGGGATAAGAGAAATAACGTGAATAATGGAAACTGATCACAAGTGGCTGGTGTGTGCCCTGACTTCCATGCTTCTGCCTCCCTGTGCTTTCCAGGCCCCAGAGACGAAGACGAGAAGCCTTCCGCGTCCGCCGCCGAGCAGACGGCTGCCCTTCAGGAGGTGGTGAGTCAGGATGTGCCTCTGGAGCCCGCCCTCCCGCCCCCTGCCCAGGACCCCCAGGTGGGACCGGCCGCAGAGCTGGACGCGGCGCGTAGCGATGCGAACGACGCGGAGGAGGAAGAGGAGGAGGAGGGGGAGGAGGGGGAGCTGGACGAGGAGGAGGCGGCGGCAGCTGGCGTGCCAGGCGGGAGCGCCGCAGGAGAGCTGGAGATGCGGTGTGACGAGAGCCCAGAGGATCTGTTAGAAGAGGCACGGACTGTTCCGCTGGGCACTCTTGAAGACTCTCCGGAGGTAGCACCTGCCGTCAGAATTCCCAAAGCTAAAGAAGAGGCCAATGGTGACGTGTTTGAAACGTTTCTGTTCCCGTGTCAGCACTGCGAGAGGAAGTTCACGACCAAACAGGGGCTGGAGCGGCACATGCACATCCACATATCCACGGTAAACCACGCCTTCAAGTGCAAGTACTGCGGGAAGGCGTTCGGCACGCAGATCAACAGGCGGCGGCACGAGCGGCGCCACGAGGCGGGGCTGAAGCGGAAGCCCAGCCTGACGCTCCGGCCACCGGAGGCCCCAGCCGATGGCAGGGCGCCCGGGGACGGCGCTCCTCCGAAGGATGACGCACAGCCTCCCAGTCTTGGGCAAGACTCTCTGACCTTGAATTCAGAGAAGGCTTCCCAAGACACGGTAAATTCTTCTGTTGTAGAAGAGAACGGAGAAGTTAAGGAGCTTCATCCGTGCCAATACTGTAAAAAGGTTTTTGGAACTCACACCAACATGAGGCGGCATCAGCGCAGGGTCCACGAGCGTCACCTGATTCCTAAAGGTGTGCGGCGAAAAGGGGGTCTCCTCGAAGAGCAGCAGCCCCCGGCAGAGCAGGCCCCGCCCGCCCAGAGTGTCTACGTACCCAGCACAGAGCCAGAGGAGGAAGGGGAGGCAGACGACGTGTACATCATGGATATTTCTAGCAATATCTCGGAAAATTTAAATTACTACATTGATGGTAAAATTCAGACCAGCTGCAGCACCAGTAACTGTGATGTTATTGAGATGGAATCCAGTTCGGCAGACTTGTATGGTATCAACTGTCTGCTCACTCCGGTTACAGTGGAAATAACTCAAAATATAAAGACCACACAGGTCCCTATAACAGATGATCTTCCGAAAGAGCCTTCCAGCAGCACGAACAGTGAGTCCAAGAAACGGAGGACTGCCAGTCCTCCTGTGTTGCCCAGAATTAAAGCCGAGACTGAGTCTGATGCCGTAGCACCTTCGTGTTCCTTGAGCCTGCCTCTCAGCATATCAACCACAGAGGCCGTTCCGTTCCACAAAGAGAAAAATGTGTATTTGTCATCGAAGCTCAAACAACTGCTTCAAACGCAGGAGAAACTGACTCCTCCTGCAGGGATTTCAGCCACTGAAATACCTAAATTAGGTCCTGTCTGTGTGTCCACGCCTGCGTCGATGCTCCCTGTGACCTCGAGCAGGTTTAAGAGGCGGACCAGCTCTCCCCCCAGCTCTCCACAGCACAGTCCTGCCCTTCGAGACTTTGGGAAGCCGGGCGATGGGAAAGCCATGTGGACTGAGGCAGTTCTGAGTTCCAAAAAGCCCAAATTAGAAAGTCATAGCAACTCACCAGCATGGAGTTTGTCTGGGAGAGATGAGAGAGAAACTGGGAGCCCTCCAGGCTTTGATGAATATAAAGTATCTAAAGAGTGGGCAGCTAGTTCTACTTTTAGCAACGTATGCAACCAGCAGCCACTGGATTTATCCAGTGGTGTAAAACAGAAGGCTGAGGGTACAGGCAAGGCTCCGGTCCAGTGGGAATCTGTGTTAGATCTCAGTGTGCATAGAAAGCCTAGTAGTGACTCTGAAGGCAAGGAATTCAAAGAAAACCATTCGGTGCAGCCAGCCTGCAGCGCTGCAAAGAAAAAGAAGCCAACCACCTGCATGCTACAGAAGGTCCTTCTCAACGAATACAATGGCGTCGACTTACCTGTAGAAAATGCTCCAGACGTGACCAGGAGCCCCAGTCCTTGTAAACCCCTAGATCCTCAGCCGGACCCTGACCTTGGTCCCGACTCTAGCTTACCTGCCCCTCCTGGCGAGTCTCCTCCTTCGTCACCTGCCCTGCAGACATCTTCCCTTTCTTCCGGGCAGCTGCCGCCTCTCTTGACCCCAACCAATCCCTCTTCCCCCCAGCCCTGTCCTCCTGTGTTAACTGTTGCCACTCCACCCCCTCCGCTGCTTCCCACTGTACCTCTTGCAGCCCCCTCTTCCGGGGCATCCCCTCATCCGTGTCCCTCTCCACTCTCGAACGCCACCGCACAGTCCCCACTTCCAATTCTTTCCCCAACGGTGTCTCCCTCGCCATCTCCCATTCCTTCCGTGGAGCCCCTCACGTCTGCTGCCTCACCGGGGCCTCCGACGCTCTCTTCGTCTTCCTCCTCATCTGCTTCGCCTTCGTTCTCTTCTTCGTCCTCCTCCTCTTCTCCTTCGCCACCTCCTCTCTCAGCAGTATCGTCTGTGGTTTCCTCTGGGGATAATCTGGAAGCCTCTCTGCCCATGATATCTTTTAAACAGGAGGAATTAGAGAATGAAGGTCCGAAAGCGAGGGAAGAATCCCAGTCTGCCACTGCACGGGATATCGTTCAGGAGACATTCAACAAAAATTTTGTCTGCAACGTCTGTGAATCACCTTTCCTTTCCATTAAAGATCTAACCAAACATTTATCCATTCACGCTGAGGAATGGCCCTTCAAATGTGAATTTTGTGTGCAGCTCTTTAAGGCTAAAACTGATTTGTCAGAACATCGCTTTTTGCTTCATGGAGTTGGGAATATCTTTGTGTGTTCGGTTTGTAAAAAAGAATTTGCGTTTTTGTGCAATCTGCAGCAGCACCAGCGAGATCTCCACCCCGATACGGTGTGCACACACCATGAGTTTGAAAGTGGCACCCTGAGGCCCCAGAACTTCACAGATCCCAGCAAGGCCCACGTAGAGCATATGCAGAGTTTGCCGGAAGATCCTTTAGAAACGTCTAAAGAAGAAGAGGAGCTGAACGATTCCTCAGAAGAGCTTTACACGACCATAAAGATAATGGCTTCTGGAATAAAGACGAAAGATCCAGATGTTCGATTGGGTCTCAATCAGCATTACCCAAGCTTTAAACCACCTCCATTTCAGTACCATCACCGCAACCCCCTAGGCATTGGTGTGACGGCCACAAATTTCACTACACACAATATCCCACAGACGTTTACTACCGCCATTCGCTGCACCAAGTGTGGGAAAGGTGTGGACAACATGCCTGAGCTGCACAAACACATCCTGGCATGTGCTTCCGCTAGCGACAAGAAGAGGTATACCCCGAAGAAAAATCCAGTCCCGCTGAAACAGACTGTGCAGCCCAAAAACGGTGTGGTGGTTTTGGACAGCTCTGGGAAGAATGCCTTCAGACGAATGGGACAGCCCAAAAGACTGAACTTTAGCGTTGAGCTCAGCAAAATGTCCTCAAATAAGCTCAAGTTAAATGCGTTGAAGAAAAAAAACCAGCTTGTCCAGAAAGCCATCCTTCAGAAAAACAAGTCTGCAAAGCAGAAAGCCGACCTAAAAAATGCTCCTGAGTCGTCCTCGCACATCTGCCCGTACTGCAACAGAGAGTTCACGTACATCGGGAGCCTGAACAAGCACGCCGCTTTCAGCTGTCCCAAGAAACCCCTTTCTCCTTCCAAGAGAAAAGCTTCCCATTCATCCAAGAAAGGAGGACACCCATCACCTGCAAGTAGTGACAGGAACAACGGCAGCAGCCACCGCAGACGGACAGCGGATGCAGAGATCAAAATGCAAAGCATGCAGGCGCCTTTGGGCAAGACCAGAGCTCGCAGCTCGGGCCCTGCACAGGTCCCACCGCCCTCCTCGTCCTTCAGGTCCAAGCAGAATGTTAAATTTGCAGCTTCGGTTAAGTCCAAAAAACCAAGCTCCTCCTTAAGGAACTTAAGCCCGATACGAATGGCCAAAATGACTCACAGCGACAGCAAGAAGCCCAAGGCTGCAGCCAGGAATCATGCAGCTCAGCTCTCGGGCAAGACGTCTCGGAGCCTGCACGTGAGGGCACAGAAAAGCAGAGCTGTCTTACAGAGCAAGTCGGCCTTGGCCAGTAAGAAGCGGACAGACAGGTTCAGTGTAAAATCTAGAGAACGAAGTGGGGGGCCGATCACCCGAAGCCTGCAGCTGGCAGCTGCCGCCGACCCGAGTGAGAACAGGAGGGAGGACGGCAGCGGCAAGCAGGAGCTGAAGGACTTCAGGTAAGCGAGGCTCCAGGGCCGGAGGAATTCAGAGCTCCAGAGCGAGGGGGAGGACAGTTGGAAGAAAACACTGTCCTTGCCCAATGGCTTCTCTTCCCTTTTCCTGCACGATTTTGACATAAGCATTTAAAGGAAATAGCTGTTGCTTAAGGTGTAGGCCGGTGTGCAGGAGGGTCAGTGCTTTGGCTGTTGTAGAGATGGATACATACAGCTCTTACTTCAGGCGTAGGACTCACAAAGTGGTACAGTTTCTCTAATAGGGCCAGTTATGAATTGGATTTGAAGCCATGAAAAGCTCCCCAGAGCACCCTACTATGAAAAGGTGAAATTCTCTCAAACTTCCTTTATATCTTGGGTGGTATCCCAGTGTCACTGGTATTATTTTCTGATCATAGCTTACTTCTTATGTTAAGATGGATCATGGAGTTCATTAAAACCACAGTACAATCTGGTGTAATATTTCTGTGACTTAAGTGCAGTTCTAGCAGCTGAGACTGCTTTTTACCATTCATGCTTGCTTTTATTGTGTTTTAATTTTAAAAACTTGCCTCTTGGTTAAAATAAATCAAAACACAGCACTCTATTCCTTTTAAAAATGCCATGTGTCCTCCCACTTGCTCCTGTTCTCAGGCATAGGGTGGTAAACAGCCAGATTCCCACGGGCGGGAGGAGGAGAGAGTGCCTGCCGAAGGGCCAGAGCATGGTTCTTTCAGGTGCGGGTGGGGACGAAGGGCAGGTCACCCCGCTTGTCAGTGCCTTTGTTTCCCCGGCGTGATGCCAGAGCCCGTCTTAGCTCAGCTCTGAGGTGGTCCCACTGTTTATCCTGTGTTCTTCCTATATTAAGAACCGTTCTTGGCGACCGGTGAAAACATAGGGCAGGAGTTAAGTTTGCTCCATTGACTTCTCAGACTTCCGGAGTTAGTTCAAACGTGAGTGGAGTGCACTCTTGGTATCCTGTGGTTTCCTGAATGATGCCTACAGGTTCATCTCAGGTGAAAGTATTCATCATCAGCTAGAATTTCTGCACAGTATTTTAAAATCCTGTCCTTTCAGAGTGAGCTGCAGGACTCTAGGCTCTTGGCTATAACTTCCAGTGTCTCAGAATTCTTTGGTGTTTTAAGCAAATAGAATCAGAGTTAACTGGGAGGTGACTGCCGTTTGGAAAGGTCACGAGGGCTCAGAGATGCTGTTTATCACTGCGCATTCGATGAGGCAGAGTTCTCGGTGCTGGTGCGCCATAAGTCATGGCTGAAGATGGAGACGAGAATCATTAGCCAAGGGTTGATTGGAATGATTGACTGTAGGAATAAAGGATCAGATTTTTTTTAAAGCTACTTCATAAAAATACTAAGTAACCAGTTACGGTAGACCTTACTGACATACGTGTATACAGCGTCTTGGAGCTTAGTTAGTCCTGGTGAAAGTAAACACCTGTTTATCAGCTGTCCAGACTTCCTGCCTGTAGCAGTTTCACTGTGTACCTCCTTGTGCTCAGTCTGTTCGGGAAGTTCCAGAACAACAGGACATTCTTGGACTGTCCTTTTCAAGGTTAAACCACCCAGAACATGCCGTCATTTTCATGGACTGTACTAAAAAACGTTTCCCAGGTGGTTGATGCTTTAGAATGTATATGTGTATTCTCCTTTGTTTCCGATAGTATCTGAAAGAATCACTTATTTTGTACTGGATCCCATTTATACAGTTCAAGGGTAAAGTTGATAAGAAAAAATTAACGTACTATAAAGGAAAACTCTCTGAGTGAAGTTCATCCAGGGCTTTTGAAGAACCCTTAAGACTGCAAAGGACTGAAGTGCCTAATAAAATTGTGTCTCTATTCTTTGCTCCACTTAGTTTTAATTATTTTGCTTTGTTTGAAAGTTAACTGTTGCTGGAATGAAATTTGGCCTGAAAGGAAACAAGGAACGAACAGTTCAGAAGACACGGGTATTATTCTGACTGTAGATGGTAGCAGCAGGCTTCCGTGACCATAAACTTGGGAAGTATTTTTGGGAATTACAGAATGAGCGTTCAGGGGCATCATATTTGGATCATCTGGGCAGAAGAGTGGGCGATTCTTCAGAGAGTTCTTAGTACCTTGTAGTGAATTTGGTATAAAGCCGGGATCCTAGGCGCAGGCCTGGGGATGTGATGGTCCATCGGTGTCAGCCCAGGGCTCTTAGTGGAGGCTTCGTCCTTTTCCACGTTTGTTGTACTGCACTGGCAAGGAGTTGCTCTAACTAGTCTTCTTCCCTTTTCAGTATATTTCTATTTGTAAATTTTATTCAGGGGTGATTTCGTAGCACAGGTTTGGAAATATCCACTTTCACTCTGGTTTTCAGTGATTTCGCTGTCCTTGCTCCATTGCATGTTTGAGGACTTACCCCGGGCCTGGCAGCGCACCCTTTCCCTGTGTGTTTGATCATAACTGTGATTAAGGGCTAGTCCTCGGCACTCAGACGTTTTACATTCAAATGCCAGTTTAGGATTCCACAGATTTTCAAGTATACACTTGCAGTCAGCCGTGAGAACGACGTCAGTTTTCCATTCTACACCGAGAGCTCAGCAGAATTTGCCGTTTGGTCATTTCCTGTAGCACAAGCCGTTGTGCCAATCCGGGTGTGAAAAAGGCGTGTGCTCCAAATCCTTTTCTTAGGACAGAGCCGCAGAGACATACCACCGACTAGATTCTCCTGTTACAGCTCTTAATCCAGCGAACGCTGTGTCGGGCTCACCTTCCGCGGGTCGGGTTGGAGCCCACCTGTGGCTTGTCGGTGGGACTGCATTTAGAGCTGGTGGCTGAGGGCTCACTTCCACGGACTGTAAGACAGAAAGATAAGGAAAGAGGTACATTTTCTACTCCCTTCTTACCCATCTTTGCTCTTTGTAAATCCCAAGGCATTTTTACATTCTTCAGCGCTGCTTCTCCAGCAGCTTTTCTTGTTGTTGTTGTTTAATACTGTGTTCCCATTGCAGCCAGTTAAGGACACGTAAATAAGTGATGGAGAAGCAGAACGAAATTCCAGACCAAGCTTTTCCATTTACCGTGAAATGGGCTAAAAAAACCAAAATGGTGCTGATTTCTCCCATACCATCTCCGCCACATCACTCCAAGGAGACTGTCTGCGTCCCTCTCAGCATGTCTCTTTTGCGCGGGACACCCACGTTCCCACACACCTTCCGAGTCATCCTGTTGCTGTCTTAACATTCGTCCCATGGTCTTCCCACCTTTTCTTTACCGTGGTCAGTTCATACAAGGTTGTGTTATGTTGTCGTTTATCTTCAGTTTTCTTATTTTCTAGGAACTTCCTGTAGAAAAGCCCCCCAAACAAAACAAACCTTAATTGACTAAATAAAGATAATGCATGCTCAACTTAGGATAAGCACTACGGCAAAGCGTACGAAATCTACCAAGCTTGCAAGACCAGTTGAAGCTGACTCAGAAACCCTAACACACAGCCGATTGCCAGTGAGTGGGCTTCTTGTTGCCCTGGTTAGAGTCAGGCATCCGCTTCTTCGCTGGCGCCCAACACACGTGCTGGGCTCACAGGCGATTAAGATGCACAGAGGAGGGCGCTATAGGACAGGCTAGCTGACCTGGCCCCTCATCACAGGACTGGTAACTCAGACCTGAGCGTGGCCCTGGCTTTTGGCACAGAGCAGAGAAAGGAATGAGTTGAACCTAATCTTGCAAAGCAAGTTCTCTGTTTTATCAGTAGTTTGTTGTAGATTTCAGGGATGACGGATTCTGATGCACTCGTTTTATAATGTTTTGGTCACACCAGCTCTTGATGCCTTTCCTTTAAATGAATTGTAGACAGAGGCATTTAGCTTCTTTCTTAGCCTGTTTCTTTTTGTTGTTGCTGTTGTTGTTGTTTTATCACAAGCCGATTGCCAGCATAATGGAGAGGAAACCAGATTGGATATGGACTCTTTTTTATGCCTCTTCCAGTGTCATGTTTATATATCCAAATGGACATTATCCTCTCAGATTATTATCTGGCACTAATTTATAACTGTTGTATTATCGGAGACGGTAGCAATATTATCAGTGCCCAGGATACATCACAGGCCTGTATAGATGTATGTCTACACCTAAGGGTAAATGAATTCACTTATCAGGTTTTACACATCAGTCTCTAATATAGAGATTTAAACAGCCCAACGGATTGGCCTATTTCTGAGTATACAAGTGTCATTTCTCCACGCATTATTATATGCCTTCCCTCTAATTAATGACGGAGTTGGTGGACAATGGCTAAGTTTTATTCGTGTTGTTTTTTTTTGTTGTTGTTGTTGTTCTCAACTTTAAAAGTAATCTACCTCTTAAAATTTGTAGTTTAATACTTGTTTGGTGAATTTGTGCCACTTTAACCCTTTCACTATCATTCCCATTTTGTTACATTTCTGTTATGGGGACTTTATGTTGAAATATTGTATAAAGCATTTGTAGCAGTTTAAAAATAAAATATTTAAAATTATTTAAATTGTTTTGGACGCTTCAATTGTATTATATGTGATTTACATTTTACATTTTGTTTGAGTTGTTAATCTGGAGAGTGTTCTTGTATTGAAGTTTGCTGTTAGTAATTTTATTGTTTCTTGTTGCAGAGTGATATAAAAGACTATTCTAATGAAAACATTAAAATTTACAAATTGACATACAAAAGGGGTTGTCCGTTGATTTTAACCAACGTAGCCTTGAGAGAGAGAGAGAGGTTAATTATAGACAAGTTAAGAGTGGTATTTGCTATTTTTCCCCTTCCAGCATGAAATAAATCATTTGAGTTTGTCAGATGTACAGAAAGTTTTCTTATGCTGTTGCTAGCAAGCACTTACTGACGGGGGAATTCAAATGATGCATTTTATATCATTGTAACCAATAAAAAACTTTCTAAAAGCTGTGGAAGGACTGTATTTTGTACATCATTGGGAGCAGTTAAGGGGGAAAATGAAGGTGCGTGTGGGAGGGGTGCTCACAGGCTGCATCTCTAAAGTGCAGTTGTCGAGCCCCACGGCCGACCTCTTCCCACTTGTTTCTGTTTGGCATTGATTGAATATTTCTGAATTCACATCGCTTCCATACCACCTAGAGAGTAGACATGCAGTTGGACGGTGGTGCTAAGAAGTGCGTGGAGAACTTACTTTGGTAAGAGTGAAATAATTTCCTGTATGGGGTGTCAGTTTCCTCTGTGCTTGTGACCAGTTCGCTCTGGTCTGGAGGTTTTTATATTTATGGCTCCCCTGAAGAATGGAACAAAGTTGTTGTAACATTTGTATTAGGTTGATATGGAATTGCTGTTTGTTTGTTTGTGTTTTTAAAGATTAAAAATGGCTGAAACAAGCAGTTTATTCATAAAGTCCTACGTGGGACCACTTGTCCTCATTTTTTTTCTCCGCCTGTGTCCTTCCTGCTCGGAACGGTGGTGAAGCTGAAGGTGCGGTCAGCCTCCCTCAGCGAGATGTGTTCACACTTGTGGCTTACGGATTCCTACCTTAGGAAACCCCAGAAGGGTTGTGGGCAGGTGTATGGGAGGAAGAGGCAGAGGTACGGAGCGGCTCTCAGCGTTAGCTGTGTAAATGTTCTAGAAACTGAGCGCTGGGCACGCACAGCACCCGGGGAGGAGCCGGACGCTGTGAGCTGGAAAGGGCGCTGCTCTGGGAACCAGGGACACCTGTCCCTCCAGGGCTCTAACAAGCTCCTCCTCCGTCCCTGCCTCGCTGGCTTAGCCTCGGGTAGGTATTTTGCCTCAAGGTTGTTAGTTCCTGGTCTGCCCAAAGTGGGGAGTGGACAAGGTGGTCCCGAGTTTTCCTTCTAGCCGGAAGCCTTCTTCCCAGGCTGCGGACGCTGACATTTCCTCGGGTCTGAAAGAGCAGGGTGAGGTCTGTTGTGTCCCCCCCGTTCTTACAGCAGGGCCTGGATGTGGCAGCACCCACATACTCAGTTGAGGAGTCCCCAAGCAGGTGGTCAGCTCCCTCTCGACAGGAATGAGCTGCCCCAGTTTGGTTGCTTTACTCTTCACAGAGTTAAGCATTTTGAAAAATTTAGAAAGCTCGTAACTAAAGCCTTGTGTCCCTGCAGCTAACACTTTGAAAGATCTGTCAGTGTCTCTAGGCTGGCTGTTTTAATTTGGATGTTACAGGTACTTTCTAGCAAAATGTTTTACAAAATCACATTAATTTATCGAGCACCTACTGAGGTGATTAGGTTACATCAGTGGACCAGAATCCCAGCCTTTGTGAAGCTTATATTTGCGTGGTGCCTTTTTTTTTTTAAACACTTCATATCCAAAACCTCCCTCACTCTGTCACAGTTCTCCCAAGTCCGGGTGGTCAAGAAGGTGCTTCTACCTTAATATTTGAGGGCAGATATCTAGATAACTGCTGACGTTTAATACTTAACGTTAAAGCGACTCTTCTAAAATTATATCTCAATGCATTCGATATTTGATTTCTTGTCGATTTTGATTTGATATCAGGCCTCACTTTGAATCGATTGGCTTATATCCTTTAAGTACGGGGGGGTGAGGAAAAGGGTAACTCGGATATAAAGGCCACGTATAAAGTCCAAAAACCAGGCCGATGGTTAAGGAAAACGGTTTGCCATCTCTGTCATTTTTTGGACACCTAAAGTATCCCCACACCCACCCCAGGTAATGTCATTGCACACGGAAGAACTTCAGAATTTATGTGGGATAAATCATAACGAACGTGTGTAGCTCTTAATTGCTGAAGGACTTGAGTGTTCTCATTTGCGCCTCAAGTGCCTCGACATTTACAGTCGCCCTGCTGTAGGATTAAAAGAAAGAAGAAGATCCAGATTGGTGAGAAGGGTGACATCCAAATTACCACTGAAATTCTTTACCAGACTAAAATATCAAAAAAAAAAAAAAAAAAAGTTGAGAGGAACAAAACTTGAGGTTCGAGTGGGTGTGATGTCGGGAAAATGTGGAGCTGCTCATTGGCCGATCCCTTCCGTCAGATGCCTGGAGTCCTGTTTGGTACCGCCCAAGGGCCCACCTGGACCCCTGCTCCACCCGGCCCAGGCCACACCGGGCCCTTCGGTTCTCCCACTGCCCTCCCTCGTGCTGCTTCCTCTCCAAGAGGTGTTGAAACTATCTGTTAAGCTCTGGGGGGAACCTGACATAGCCTTCGGGTGCTTTCCGTGTGCGAGGTACTGTGCAAAGCATTTTTCAAACTTGATGACAACCCCCTGAGGCTGGTATCATTTACAGATGGGGAAACAGACCCCGGGGGGAAACGAGTTTTGTTCAGAGGTCACACAGTTCTCGAGTGGAAGGCTGGGATTTGAACTGCCTCCAAGCTGTACTGTCCTATTGATCATTTTTGTAATTTCTTTTTTGAAAGCTTCATTTCCTCTCGATGTAGGATACAGGCCTTGATATCTTCTCTAGTGAGGGCTTTCCCGGCATTGGTGAACAAGTAGAATCATCCCTTCTCTGTAAGGCTTCTTCCTGATGCAGCAGGACTGTTGATTAGTGTGGAGCTGCCTGGGAACGTTCACGTCTAGTTCACTCTTTTAACTGGGGGACATGCTTCTACCTCCATCATAGACCTTTCAGGTTCAACTGGCTTTGTAGACCAGTCTGATTAGTCAACAAAACGCTGTTTAATAGAAATCAAGCGCATGATAATAATATGCTTTGATTCTGGAAGTGTTGGTCGCCAGGAGTATCCTCAGATGTGACTTAAGAACCTTGACCTGTTGGGCCAAAACCAAAGTCTGTCGGGGCTTGCCCTGCCACCTTGGCACATAGTCCATTGCGTGCAGAATGGAAGGTTAGGTTTCTGCCAAAAGTGAAGTTACTTGTAAAGTATAGGATTAGAGCCTGGAGGGTGCGTGTAGGTTTTATTTACTTTCTGGATGAAGAATAAGAATTGGAAAAACCATCGTGATGCTGCGTTAAATTATTAGCCGTTGCAAAAGTTACATTCAGTCATGAGCCATTAAAAGGGGCTTGGACACACTTATTAGAGTAAACTTGCCGAACCATTGGGGTGATAGGATTTGTATGAGCTTCTGTTTTCTGCCTCACTTGGACCAGCTGGATTCCTTTTCCACTGTCTCTTATAGAAAGCGAGCTGAAATTCAGGTGGGTGGTTCAGAGAACATAAGCCTTTAATGGAAGAAGTTTGTGCCTAAGTGTGCCTTCCCGTGTCCAGCTTATAATCCACAGCAGGAAGCCAGACAACGGACGGTTTTGAAGATTCCTTGATAGGCGCGCCCCGAGTTACTCAGTGGGGTGTTAACTTCGGTCATGACAGAAAGCTACAGGCAGATTTTAAAGTATCGGTTTAGGTCCTGAATCAGAACGTATTTAAGCTGAGAACATTTCCATATCAGTGTGTAGATAGGAGCCTACTGCATAATACGGAGTTCTGCTTGGATGACTGCTGAGTCTTACCATGAAATCTAGATATAAATTTTAAGTAGAAAACATTTTTTAAAAGACCTACAATTTGTTTCGCAGGTAAGTTAATAATAGAAGGGGATTTAGGCCTTAGGATACGATTGTGGCAGTTTTAATTTTTTAAGTTAAAGTAGAATTTCAGTTTAAAATTGCATTTGTTTTAGTATTTCATACTTGTCAAAAACACAACATTTTAATATTCTCTGTTGGAATGAAGTTATTTAAAACTCACATGGATTTGATTTTCCTTGCAGTAACATTCTCTTCTCACTTGCTTTTTATAATCACATCCAATCCTTGCCAGCCCAGCTCGAGTTGAGGCACATTTTCAGATGGCTTCTATTTCCAAGCTATTACTGGACCTGTGAATTCAGGGACATTCTCCTGTAGTGATTCAGTCGGTCAGCCATTCAGAAAACATCTTTAATGATCAGCCTGGATCATGAAGGTGTTGGTCTGTAGATCTGATGGACTCTGTCCTGTGTACGAGGGTGTTCAGAGGACCTTGGGGTGTAGCTGGCCATCACGGAGGAGCTGAGCGTGCTCCTGGCTGTTCCTACCCGTCGGGCACTAACTCCTCGGGAGCTCTCCCACCACTTGAGGGAGAGCAGTTGTCCCCATGTACAGACAAATTGACCGAGTCTGAGAGAGGCCACGGCACCTGCATTATGTCCCACAGCTGTAAATGGGGACCCCAAACCCGGCCATCTGACTCCAGAGCCATGCTCTTTGCTGCCATGTGAAACAACCTAATTCACCGTGCCCTTGGGTTTGACGTAGTTCCCGTGTCCCCCAGGTGATCAGTGCTGATGTCATCACCCACAACGGGGTTCTGCTGTAGAGAGGTTGGGTAGCATACTGGGAACAAACACTGGCCTTGAACTCCTAGCCACCTGAGTTTTAATTCCCTGGGTTCCGAACGTTTGTGACTGAGGGGTGGGGCACGCTGCTGGCTGGGCCCCAGGCTTCTGGTTATGTGAGCGGTCGGGCTAGAGGAGGGCACGTGTATTCCCAGTGAGAACTCAGGAGATGATGCCTGTGGTGGCGGTGTGGTGACGATCAGTGACCACTGGCTAGTGACCGGGGCTCGGGTCTCACAGTGATAGCGCCGGGGAGGCCCCGCTGAGGAAACCGACAGGGTGTGGTAACCGTCCCCGGTGGAAAGAGCCAGAGCATGGACGGTGGTGATCGCTGAGGAACTTCTGGAAGAGGCTGCAGAAGAAACTGCTCGTGTGTTCAGAGGCCCAGAAGGAAAAAAAAGATTCCTTCATGGAAAATGACAAACCTCGGTTTATGTTAGTTTTAGAGAATGGTGGTTACTGTCTTTGGGGAGAATAGAGCTTTTTTCAGAATTTTAGAAACACTCCCAAAGGCTTCCAGGATGGTCTTAGCCCTCCGTCTGGGCCCAGGCAAAGTGAATGAGCCTGGGGCACCTGAGGGTGCCTGGCCTCCTGGGAACCCCTCAGGGTTTTGCTGTGACTTCATTTCGGGCATTGGGATGTAGGTAAGGGCACTGATGGGCCCTACACCCGGAGCCGCTGATTACCTGTCTATCCCGACCATCCGATGGGAAGGACTGCCCTTGTTCGTCCCTCTGCATCTCCTCACTCTGCTCTCCTGTTCCTGGAGGGACTTCACTCATCCGTACGTTCTGTTCTCGACTTGTTAGGGAGGTTTATTAAATGTCCCCCTCCTAGAATGAAAGTTCTCCCTGGGCGGGAACTTTGTTTTGTTCACTGCTGCGTTTCCAACATCTCCCACAGTGCCTGCCATGTAGTAGCCGCTCAGTAAATAACTTGCTGAATAAAATACTTGAATCCTGGCTCTACCACTTATTAGCTTTGTAATGTTGGGCAAGTTACTTAACCTTTCCGAGCCACGGCTTTCCTTTCTGTAAATGGCAATAACAGTCTATCTGACCAGGAAGGACG